ATATATATATATATATATATATATATATATATATATATATATAAATATAAAAAAGATTCATTGCTAAGTTTCACTCTATAAAATTATACAAAAATTGACAAAATATTCAAGCAGATTTTCAGTAAATGGCATTTCTGTTTGACAAAAACTAATTGATTTAAATTCTCCAAGGAGTCCTGCTTTTAACTAGTATAACTATGAAGAGGGTGGAATTTTAATTTCTTGAAATTTCATAAGATTAAGTAAGTGGAGATAACAGATGTTAAAAAAAAAAAAAAAAAAAATTAAATTTACCAATATTTTCTAAAAAAAAAAAAAAAAAAAAAAAAAAAAATTTCAATCATTTGTGAAGAAGTCCTGAAAGTTTCATAATAATCTGACAATTATTTGATTTTTGCACGAATTTCTAAAATGTTTTTTTTTTTTTTTTTTACAACAAAAAAAGACATTTCCCATACTAATCTTTAGCCCACCCACTAGTGCAAGAAAAACAAGATTTTTAACCAAAATTTCAAACATGCTAGAAAGGATTAAGAACTTTAATAAAATAACCAAAACATACTTTAGTTGTTTCTCTTAATAATAAACATTTTGATGATAAAACTGTTTTTATCAAGTTTGGAGCCTTTTTCATCATGGTATGTTCTTTTTTTAGTGAATTTTTGGAGATACCTAGTTTAATATGATAGTGAATGTTGAACCGTCTTCCCACGGATGAAGAAAAAACTAGAGGCAGCAGAAATGTGGTTCTACAGAAGAATACTGAAAATTCCATGGATATAGTGAGTAGGCAACTAGGAAGTCTTAAAGAAAATGACAACAGAAAGAAAGCTGAAATTCCTTGGACACATAATAAGGAAAACTTAACCTTCACTGGGCATATTGAAGGCAAGAGAGATTGGAGAAAGCAGCGAGCCAATTACTTGACAAGAAGCTTGTGTGAATAGATGGCAGAATAGTGGGAGGAGGCCTTAGCAAAGGGAGAAAAACTGCTAATAGCCACATGAGATAGGAAGTTGTGGAGAACAATGATCGCCTATCTTATGAAGGGACATGGCACATAGAAGTAGAATCTAAAATTGGAGTGGGAAGAACAAAAGGAAAAAAAGAAAAATGGAAGTTAAAAGTTCAGTCCAATTCTTTTCTCAAAATCTGACTAAATGATCAAACATCAGAATTTTTAGAATCCCTTCATGGCCAGGCTGACAATTTTTCAGTATCCACTCTCAAATAATAAATAAAAAAAGATTTAGCAAGAGGGCACAATCCCAAAATAAAATTAACTGTGATATCACACAATGAAAATGCAAAGACTGGTTAACTCAAAGCTTATCCTAAAAAAAAAAAAAAAAAAAAAAATATCTTAGGCTTGAGATTCTTCTATTAAATATTAAATCCCAAAAATGAAAAAGAATCTAGTCAACAAAGCACTTAAAAAAAAAAAAAAAAAAAAAAAAAATCCCACAAAAGGATTCAGTTTGACAGAAAGCACCAGGTCACAACAACACAAACTGTAGATTAGATTACAAGAATAAATGACCAACAGATTGATACAAAATAAAAAAAAATCCTCAGAACATACAAGGACCCCCCAAAAAAAAAAAAAATTGTAAATAGATAAATAAAGGAAAAAAATGGAAAGGAGTAGCTCAGCTATATTATTTCAAAATAGCTTTCCTAAGATCCATATTAAAGAATTAAAGCCTGGATTGAAAAAACAAATTCACTGACAAGTAGAAGGCATGTCAAAAGCGAGACATGACAAAAGCAATTTTGTAACTGTAAAGTGAAAAATCAATACAACATCAATTTATTTTCACTAATGTAGCAGTTATATTTTGCTTACAAGGAATATCTTGGTGGTGTATTTTATTGGTAAACAGCTTAGTTTTTAATATACACCACCTTCTAGAATATCAGAATTCACTTTTCAGGAAAAAGGTGTCATGTTGAATTCAGTCAGCAAATAACAATTTAATGTGTCTCAAAAATTATGCTCATTATAATTTCTTGAACATTAGCTGCTATAAACATAAAATTTTCAGATTTACTGACAAGATTTTTTTTATTCACTATGACAACTGTCGTAATGGAATGTCCCACACACTATCACATATGTGGACTGACTATATCAGCAGATATATATAGTAAGCATAGGATCTACCTGGTGGACTTGGTTCAGGAATTACTAGCTTGCTAACTGATTCCCTGTCTTTCAGTACCGTATTCTCTTTTACAATAAACCTCTCTTTCTTTCATCTATGCCTGTGTTTCTGTTTCTTTCACCAGAGTACCACCTTTGTTTGTAACCTTCTCTGAGGATACAACAACAACAAAAATTTAAAAATGCATGACTGTGTACATGTATTTTTAAGAAAAGTGAGGATAAAAGTTGGAAGTTATAGACAAAAAATGACTAATTGGTTTTAAACTTTTTTTTTTTTTTTTTTTTTTTTACACTGCCATGACAACACAAATCCCGTAATTCAGGGTGATAGGTGCACCAACTCTACTGTAGCTATAGCAACAGCGGTGTTCCCAGCGTAAGGTAGCCTAATGAAGCCCATCCCTCTTCAGGTTGGTTTTGAATTCACTTTGTCTTCTATATTGGCAGCCAATAGTCAAGGTAGGAGAGCCCATAGCTGAAGAGGGAAAAAGAGATGGATTCATGCCTTTCTCAAGGATATTTGTGTGAAAGTGAATACAATGGACTATTGAAATTCAAACTTGTCTCTCTTGCTAACCATTACACTACCTGCACATCCAATTTTTATGAGCAACTTCCCTTTTATCTATTTATGGAATCTTAACACAACACACTTGAAAATCTCTACCAACTGAGATATATTTATTCTATGTATTTAGGTATCCAGGCATACATTGTGGTGTCATGGATTTTGTCTCAGCAACATGATAAACAGCAGCAAAGGTTGGATGACTGCTTTTGGTCTGCAAATGCAATCTGATACAGCCATACAGCTTCATGTCCATTAGCCGTATGTAAAAATCATAACTGCCTGAATATCCTGCCATAGTTAAATGGAACTTTTGTCCTTGCTTTGGTGTGAGGAACACCCCCACCAAAGTTTGTCAAAGTATTTTTGATACACCCCTGTGTGTGTGTGTGTGTGTGTGTGTGTGTGTGTGTATATATATATATATATATATATATATATATATATATATATATATATATATCTCAGATGGTACCTGGATTTTACCAAAAAACAAAATAATTTCCATGCCTGAAGATGATTGAATGTACAGTCAAAAGTACTTGTGTATTTAAGAAAGACCTTATACAGCTTATAATTTTAAAAAACAAGGATAACATAACATTCATTGAGTGATTAGTAAGTTAATGCATCTTTAAAATTTTGTTAGCGAAGGGATTTCGCCATTTTATATCATTAACTTTACTAATTTACTTTTTGTAGGAATGATTCATTGTTAATATATATATATATATATATATATATATATATATATATATGTATGTATGTGTTTAAAAAGTGTGCTATTTCTGGGGAAAGTGCTTAATATTGGGTATAGAGCATATATAAACAGTATGAACATATAAGTCAACACTTTATGGTAAATGGTAGTTTCATGCCATAACCAGCCATCAGACCATATAGTACTTTCTCCAATAAACTTCCTTTAAAAGTAAATACCAAACTTTAAAATCAAGAAAATATGCAAAGAAAAAAATGGTATAAAATAAAAAAAAAAAAATGAACACAAAAAGTAAATTCAAACAAATTCAAAGTTAGAAATGCAAATAAAAAAAAAAATGATTTCTCTCTTCCACCACTTCCCATGGGACCCAGTGGCATATACATATAATTTAATTATATATGTAGTAAGTTAACATCAACTATTTTTGGGAAAAAAAAAATGGTAGTAAAATTGTTTGATAATAATTAGAGCTTATAAAAAAAATAATTATAACCATAACTACTTAAGTTTCACCTGGGAAACAGGTATCTTTTGGCTGAGTTAATATATTATTTTGAAATGACACATGGGATTTTCATTTTCCCTATGTAACTTCTATTTTCTTTATAATCGAGCTCAAATTTTTCTCTTTCACATCTAAAACATATTTAGATAGAGCAATGTTGTTGTAATAATTCCCCAACTTCAAAGATGTTATGTACCACTAGTCCCTTTTTCACACTCTCCTACAGAAAGTAGTGATGAAGAGTGTGAAGAAGGGACTACATGTAAACTAGAAGAAAACAGAATGCATGGTCATCAGTAAAAGGATGAACCCAAAATGCAATTTGCAGGTCAGGAAAACTAGAATGAAGCAGACTTGAAAGTTTAAATATCTGGGAAGCGTTCTGGCAGAGGATGGTAAATGTGATACTGAGATCTGTGAACATATTAGGATGGCCAAGGGCACATTCCAAAATCTGGGCAGCGTATTGCAAGACAGGAGGATTTCTTTGGTAACAAAAAAAAGAATACTGAGCTGTTATGTGACATCTGTCCTTCTTTACGGCAGTGAATGTTGGACGATTTCCTCAAAGATGAAGAAGAGACGAGGCGATAGAGATGTGGTTCTGCAGAAGGATGCTAAGGATATCATGGACCGAGTGTGAGCAACGATGAGGTCTGAGAGAGGATGCAAACAAGGAAGAGGCTTATATTTAACACCAGGAAGAGGCTGATGAAGTTCCTCGAACACATAATGAGGAAGGAGGGCCTGGAGAATCTGATACTCATGGGTCAAATAGAGAGAAAGAGAGAGAAGGGAAAAACAACGCATGACATACCTAGCAGCCTTAAGCAAGTGGATGACAGAACATGGTCTGGGGGAGGTGACAGAGGGAACGAACTTGTTGAGAGCTGCAAGGGATAATGGGAGATGGAGAGCCATGATCGCCTATGTCCTGAAAGGACACAGCACATAGAAAGAAACAACTTAAACCTACTCATAAAATGGAAGAAATATTACATTAAGAACCATATTAAACAAGCATTCATGGTTCTAGTCATGTGGTCAACTTTAACAGTGTAAAGAAGTAGATGGATTCATACTGAAATATAATGTAGATTGGATTTTAAGTTAAAAAAAAAAAAAAAAAAAAAAAAAATACCAAAAGATAACAAGTTTCATGAGCAGGACTAAGTGATGTTGGAATGCAAAGTCAAAGATATTAGTGAATTAATATTTGCTTGATCTTTGTTGCATTGGTAAGATCAGTAATCTCGTAAGTCTTTGAAACCACAAATCCAACAAAATCAATGGTGAGCTTTAATTCAAATGCATGTCCTTGAAAAGTTTTAAGCCAAGACTCAAGTCTTGTGCTTGTTTCAGATTATAACCGACTGTTCAGTGAGAGTATAGATGATTAGTGATAAGAAACAAAAATAAGAAAAAAAAAAAAAAGTCAGATTTTATTATGAAAGTCAATATTTGTACAATAATATTGGTATTCTTTTATATATTGCAATCATTCAGGGTATGAAGTCTCCAGAGTTTCCTATTCCCTGTTCAGCTATACTGATTACATAAGCTTGTTAGGTAGACTAATCAGTGTTTTCCCTCTGCCCTTCTTGCATTCAATATGCCCTACAAGTGTCAAACACTCTTTCCTCATTATATGTCCCAGAAAATTCAACTCTTTCTTATTCTAAGTATGCTTTTTAGCTGTTATTGATAAGATTTTCAAGACATGTGATAAATACACTGTGAAATATAGCACAAGAGTTATCTGTCATTGTAATATATTTAATAATAAAGTTGAAATATTTTAATTTTACATATACAGATTGCCAAAGATGACAAGAAAGAAACAACCTTAAAAGTGAAACAAGATATTGTAAATCTATTGAAAAAGTTGAATAGCAGTCATAGAACAATCAAAAAAGAACTCTAAAACATTGGACAAGAAAAAAGAGTAGCTTTAAGAATGTCATAAAAAGATATTTGAGAAAAATAGGTAATAAACAAGAAAAGTGAATTGACCAGCAAGAAAAGATTGAAAAAAAAAAAAAAAAAAAAAAAACACACACAATAAGATAGAGAAAGAAAGAAATGGTGGAGAATGAGAAATAGACAAATAAAAGAGAAAGAAGGGAATAGCAGAGAATGAGAAATAGACAAATAAAAGAGAAAGAAGGGAATGGTGGAGAATGAGAAATAGACAAATAAAAGAGAAAGAAGGAAATAGCAGAGAATGAAAAATAGACAAATAAAAGAGAAAGAAGGAAATAGCAGAGAATGAGAAATAGACAAATAAAAGAGAAAGAAGGAAATAGCAGAGAATGAGAAATAGACAAATAAAAGAGAAAGAAGGAAATAGCAGAGAATGAAAAATAGACAAATAAAAGAGAAATAGGAAATAGCAGAGAATGAAAATAGACAAATAAAAAGAGAATGAGAAAAAATAGACAAATAAAAGAGAAAGAAGGAAATAGCAGAGAATGAGAAATAGACAAATAAAAGAGGAAGAAGGAAATAGCAGAGAATGAAAAATAGACAAATAAAAGAGAAAGAAGGGAATAGCAGAGAATGAGAAATAGACAAATAAAAGAGAAAGAAGGAAATGGCAAAGAATGATAAACAAATAAAAGAGAAAGAAAAAGTGAGACTAGATGCAACTAGTGTAAAATAAATAGATGAGAAAGTGGGGTGAAGGGAGGAATTACTCTTTTATTCTTCTCTCAGAATGGTTTACAAGTATTTTGTCTCCAACTCAAAATCTGAAGTCAAATTCACCTTGCAACAAAAATCTATTTCACAAAATCAATGTCAAACAAAAAGGTCACATAATTTAAATAACTGCAAAACATTTCTGCAGCAACATTCTATGACTCTTTGGTCTTTTTTTTTTTTTTAGCTTTTTTTAATGAATAAAATTTAAGCTTTAGTTCATACATAAATCAAATGTAGAAAAAAATACTTGACAGAAGGAAAATAACTGATATGTTACAAGTTACTTTTTGTAAGATAGGTAACTAAAAATGTTTCTTCTAATAGATAGCAATAGAATGGAAATTAGAGTATTGCAGCATCTAAAATAAAAAGGCTGATAAATATTTATGACTTGTGACAGCTGAAGAGTTTGCAAGTAAATGAATATATAAAAAAGAATGCTTAAATCATGCTCAATAGGGAGGATTTAAAATTTTACAATATCATCTTTCAAAAAAAAAAATACAGACAGACATAATTGAGTGAGAAATATTAATCTGTAAAAGCAATTTCTGAAATAGAAGTCAAAGCCAGAGATGGCATTAGATCTTCGTTGTGTTTTGATTTTAATAGTAACAATCAAAGAACTATGTTGTGAAAATAGTTTGGTAATATTGGATTTGTTACTATTGGGCTGTTTAATCAAGTAAATTTCTGTATTTCTCTAATGACTACTTCCATAAATTTAAAAAATAAAAAAAAATAAAAAAAATAAAAAAAGAAAATATTGTTAATGTTATCAAGAGTTTTTAAAGAAAACTTTTCATAAGGTGGTAACAATTAGAAAATTACTTTTTGTTTCTTTAATTTTTTTGCTTAGATTATTTAAAAGAAAAATACAAATGTATAAAAATATCGAAAATTGGAGAAAAAACTAATTGTGAAAAAATGGTCATGAAAAACATAAAAAAAAAAAACTAAGCAGATTCTACACTTTTTATGTGTTGGGTGAATTTCTTGAAAAATCAATAAGAATCCTCATATATGAATAGTAATTCTGATAATTTTCTTTGAAGATATATATTTCCTAACCTAAAAAAAAAAAAAAAAAAAAAAAAAAATCTAAAGTAATTGACCGAGATCAATGAATTTGTCAATGCATGTTTGTTTTATTAGTTCTTGCTACAAATAACTGACCTTTTCTCCATTTCCAGGATTGACTTTTTTCTTTGTTTCTTTACAGATTCTCAACCCTTTGTGGGATATTTAAATCAGAAACAAATTTTGATTTGTAGAAGGTTGCCTACAGTACCTGGCATTTCCAAGCAGTTCTCTATCTTGCTTAACTTTTGTAATCAAATAAGAGCCTGTGTTTTCAGCGTGATTTGGCCATAGGGCTTCAGTTCCAGGAAGTAGAGGTCATCAGGATTATAATTGTTCAAATGCATATATATTCTGTTTGAATTTCAGGAATATCATTATTTACACACAGATTAATGTTGCAATTTTTTCTGTTATATTTTAACCATTGTCACCTCCGAAATGAATCCTTTATTTAAGCTACAGGGATAAATTGTTTAATAATGCTCAGTTATTGCTCACTCTGTTTCCACCAAGTACACGCTTCCCTTGAAAATACATTAATTTCCCCACCCAACCAATTGAGTGTTCCTTTATATTGTAATGTTCCCAAATACCTGATGGCATATATAACATAGAAGTATGCATATACTAGTCTTTCACTTTGCACCTTCTGATATATTGTTTTCCTCACACATCTATATACAAATATCTACCCAAACCCTCTCTCATTAATACAGGCAGACATCTATGTAAGAAGTGGATATCATAATTTATGCCTGTGGAAATTAAAAATTTTCTATAATACTTGCCAGTATTGTGGAAAATTTTAAAATTTCCACAAATAGCAAGGCACTGGCAAGGCACTTGCCAACTGAAATTCGTTTATCATGGCTTCATATCAAGTGTCTAAAATTTCAACCAGCCCATATTTCAACATTTGTATTTTTTTTTTTTACAGCTATGTATATTATCCACTTAAGAGTGTGCATATGCATAAACACACACACACACATTATATATATATATATATATATATATATATATATATATATATATATATATATATATATATATATATATGTGTGTGTGTGTGTGTGTAAATTTATATTTGTAAGACCAATGGAGCAACCCATATTTCATTCAAAAATCATATTTAGCTATTATTTAATTATCTGATGTTCCTAAAGCGCTAACTGTTGTCATCTATTTCTGTGTTGAAACAATCACGTATGCTTTCTTCAAGCTTGCAAGAAATATCAAATCCTCTTAAAGCTTCAAAGTAAATGCTCATTTGCTATGATAAGAATTAGCCAATGATTTTAAGAAAGAACAAATAATCATAAGAAAGCAAGGTTCCAGGAAACCTAAATTAATCACACTAAGATATGACAGGCACTAAAAGACAAGCTTTAAGGAATTGAAAGTATCTAGCTAAAGTATTTAATACCATCACAAACTGTTCAGTACCTCACTGGACATTGGGTAAAAGATTATTTGAACAATGTTTATAATCTAAATTTTTGAGAAGTCATATACTAAAATATGGACACTACTTGTGTTTACCAAGTGATTTTTTTTAGTAAAGAAAGCAGATTTGGGTTTGTTAGTGATGCTCTTGAAAGGTATCTTAGCAGCTCCAGTGAAAAAACATTGTCAGCCTGACAAACAGAGGGAACTTTTTTTTAATCAAAGGTGGTCTCCTAACTCACTAGGTGAAAAACAAAACAACATTGCATAACAATAGCAGGATATTATTCTTTGCAGTTGCTTTCAAATTTACAGAAATTCTAATCTAATGGAAAAGCTCTACTACTAGAACAATGTTCCTTACCATTTTGCAAGATACACCACAAACAGAAAACAGCTTGGAAATCCTACTGACTTGGTCACTTGACAACATTGAGAATTTTATACAATCAATATCAGATAGGAAGTGCTGTATGAATGTTTGTGAAAGGCTATCCAAGAACAGTATAATTCTCTACCTGTTGATTTTTTTTTTTCGAAGTAGAGTGATTTAATGAGTACAAGAATTAACCAAGTGCAGATTTCTGAAATAAGTCATAAGAACTAATCTATTTTGTCTTATGCTGCTTAAACTTCACATTTATATTATTATTGGTACATTAGTTACCAAGTTATAAGCAAAAATTAATGTAAACTGTCTTGCGCCTTTTTTTTTCAGGTTTGAAGATTGTACCAAAGCATGAAACTGACAGTCACCATGCAGTGTTGATATCTATGCCCATACAATTTATAAATTGAGAACTAATCCCTTATTAATAGAGCAAATTTTAAACGTGTGTGTGTGTGTGTGTGTGTGTGTGTTGGGCCAGATGTTTGTGAACACATCTTTAGCATGACATAAATGGAAGATGACCTAATATGTCATATGGTATGTGCCAAATTAACGGTTCTCATTTCTTTTTCATATGTATGAAGAGCATTAACATGTCAGCTTCTGGTCCTATACAGGAAATTAAAAGGCACATCAACACTAGCTGTCAACCACAGAGACTTGAAGATAGCAAACTTCTTGAACATAGCTAGGTGAATAAAGAGAACAACTGATGGCTCTGCACAGGCTTTACAGAGGTACCTATGGTGATGCACACTAAACTGTGATGTTTCTGTGGGTAACAATCAATGAGAGCAATTTCATATCTCTTCTACTTCCCACAGGATATCAATTTCAATTTGAAAGTTATCACTTACATTGAGGTACTGAACACTGTATTCAAGTCCTGGATCAAGGGTGTAGCTCAGGGAAATCTACATGTGTTCCAACCAGAGGTTGCTGCTGACAAACATGGCCCATGTAACCTGGTAGTGGCTAACCAAGAATGTTCAAAATTATGTCACTGCAATATTTAATTTGCTAGTTCTCCTGATTTAAATTCCTTTGGTATCTGGACTACATCTTGAGCATCATCAAGGAGACAAACCAGCAGCCCAACAATATCCAGAACTTGAAGACTACAATCATAGATTTGATGGCTGGTATGAATGGGAAGTGATCCAGGTATTCAGTTGTATTAAGGCAGTCTTTGAGGCTGAGGGTAGTTTTATTGAATAAACTTTGTTTTTCTGTTAAACATTGGTACAGGGTGCAACAAAAATACCTACCACATAATGGTAAGATATTAGTGGCAATAGCATATTCATCTATCTAATGTCTTACCATTATGTGGGGGATATTCCTGTATAAAGTTTTTGAAAATATTTTTCTGTTGAATATCTATTTTTATTCTTCATAATATATTCTCAATTAACACACTCAAGTTTCATAGACCTCCTAGGGACAGAGCTCACAGCATGCTAAACATTGCTGCTGTGGTTTCCATAATAAGTGGTAAGTTTTTACAGGATGAAGTTGCTAGCCCCATGCTCAGCTGGTTTTGAATTCAGAGTTGTCCTCCAAGATTGGTTACCAAACACAGCTAGTGAACCCAGTTTGCCCTACTATTTAACCCATAGCTGTGGAGAAGAGATGGATCTATACTATTCCCAAGAGTATTTGTGTGTAAGTGAATTGAATGAATTCAAACCCAGCTCTGATTTCTCATTCTGAGCTGCTATCCATTATACCACGTGCACAATTATCTGGCGCATACTATATATTATCAACAATTTACTGTTTTATAATGCAGAAAATATCTCAGGCTATGTTTGTGTTCACATCTAAGAGTGTAGATCAGATAAATCTATATTTTGCATAGATAATTCATATTCATATAAAATGGTATAATTTGTATATTGTTCATCAACAAGATCAATACCAAAAATACATCAAATTGGAGGAGACTTTTTCTTTTTCTTTTAATGAAGATTTTAAAAATATACTGTAATAATTTAATATTCTTTAAAATTTTACTTTTGGTTTCAATTTGAAAAAAATACATCATGTTCATAATTTTGCATAATTAAAACAGGTTTTAGACTTATTGAATTATTATTTTTTTCTCAATTTTGGTCATCCAAAATGAGTACTGATTATACCAGGATTGATGTCTGTTGACCGAAAAATTTAAATCCAGTAAAATCTTCTCAAAATAAAGCAGCCATTATAAAAAAAAAAATTAGATTTGATGAAAAGGAGTAAATTTAATGATGACTCAACTGACTTTTGAAAATATGATTTCCATTTGACTTTAAATATAGAGAAAGATAAATTTGTTTACAGCCGGTATCTGATACTAGTCAAATCATTTCAAAGGTCAAGTGGGTATTTAGTCAGCTTTCCTAACCTATATGTGATGAAACCCATTTAAATTTATAAGCATCACATAGAACAGCTGAAACAGACAAGACCAAAGATGTTATTACCTACAATGGAAAAAGTCTATTCTCAACATTAAAACATCAAATAATGGGCAATGCTCTTGTCTTGTATGATATCCCACATGTTCATATGTACATCTAGTACATTTTAGAAACTAAGTGCAGTATCTGACTAATTCCCAGTCATTCTGAACTGGAATCAATTATACTTTCTGACAAAGAAATATAACCTAGAAGGAATTAGGAAGAAGAGAAGAGGAAGCAGGTGAAAAGCAAAATACGCATACACAGAGAATGAGGAAGGAATGGAAATGAAAGTGAGAGAGATGCTTGTTGATTGGATATAAAAAGACAATGAGCCAAAGATTGGAAGACAGGTAGGGATAGAAAAGTATAAGAATTGCAATATAATCAAATTCTTTAGAGAGAATACATAGATAAAAAGAGAACTAAAAATTAAACACACAATCAAAGGACACCTAAACAGTATGAAAGGTGTGTGTGTGTATGTATATATATATATATATATATATATATATATAATGTGCGTGTATAAAAATATGAACAAGTTTACATATGTTTGTTATACATCAACTGGGCTTTGTGAACAAAAATTTTGGAAGTTTTTCCACAAATATTACTGGTCCTCTGATACTGGTAGCATGTGAATATCCATTAGGTCTGTGCACTGTTTTAAAGTGGAGATCAGTGTGCACATTATCAACTCTATCCTTTAAATCGGGGGTTTATGAGCAATTTGCAAATGAGGTGAGATACTGTCAGTAATACTTCCAGGATTGTAGGTTTTTTTTTTTTACTCTTCTCCAAAACCATACTTGTTCAAAATCTGGCCCAGGGGCCAATTTACAGCCCATGGTCAAATTTCATATAGCCCCATTCTCTGTCATAGAATGTATCACTTATGTCCCACCAGTATTGTCAATCAAAGTATGTAAGGTGCACACCTAAGAAATGGAATTTCATGGCTTACCAAAAGATGGCAGCAGCACTGTGTAGCTGCCCTCTGGTAGTATGACCCTGACCTTGATCTTTTCCAACTAATTTCTAAGATCACTGCCTTTTAACTAAACCTGGCCTTCATTACTGCAGTCCAGGTCTTAGTATCACTCTTCATATTAGTGCAGGCAAGTTATTTATTTTGATTATCTGCAATGAATAAATTCTTATGTAACAGCATTTTCTCTATTGCGGGGTGTATGGTTGATTAGAACCTTTTAAAACACTTTCTTCTACATTCAACACCATCACTTGATAAGACACAAGAAGTGTTGAAAGAAAATGGCTATTTTTGTAGTGATTTTATAACATATTCATGTGTGTGCGTGAATAAAGACAAAAGAAAACTTTTCTTTACCAATGCGTTTTGTCCTCTGATTGTAAATGTAAGAAGTTTATTTAGCAACATGTATTTATAAACAGAAGTAAAAATAATTGTTAGGTTTTCAAAATTTTTAAATTTAAGAATGCTCAAAAATATTCTGAATATACCTAAACAAGTAAATAAAAAATTCCAACAACATTTATTCACTTTGATTTATTAATGTATTAAATTACATTACTTAGTATCCTTCATAGTTTACCTTTACTTTCACTGTTAGCCATAGGACATTTTTAACCTTTCTTAAATTTAGAATTTTTTTTTTTTTTTTACTTCTGCTTATAAATACTTGTTGCAAAATAAAATTCTTACATTTACCTTCATAAAGTCCATCAGAAGACGGATGAAATGCATTGATAAAGAAAAGACTTAACGACTTTGGCAATTTCAACCATGGAACAATTAACAATCAAACAATGTGTTAAAGTTATTGAAGCCTATTACAAAAATGGACATTCAAACAGAAATGCATTTCATGCACTTGGCAATTTTTTGGGTCAACATAATCGACCAACCGAGAGTGCAATTGGAAAAATTATTCATAAATTCAAACAAACTGGATTGGTGGCAGATGTGAAAACACCATTGTGTGCTTGCTTATGCCATTCAGCTGAAAACATCGCTGCAGTGCATGAGAATGTGGCCAAAAATCCAGACACCTCTATTCGTCATTATGCACAGGAATTGAACCTCTCCACAACAACATTATATCGAATTTTGACAAAAGATTTGTCTCTACATGCTTACAAAATTCAATTGACACAAGACCTGAAACCTCCTGACCATCTGGAGCAACGTACATTCATCAATTTGGTACACGAGAAAAAACAAGCCGATGAAGATTTTTCACAAAAAATCCTCTTTAGTGATGAAGCCAATTTTCATCTTGGTGGATTCGTTAATAAGCAGAATTGTCACATTTGGGCTGATGAAAATCCAAGGAAGATTGTTGAAAAGCCACTACATCCACAAAAGGTCACAATTTAATGTGCATTTTTGCTAGCAGAATCATATTTATAAATTTGAATGTCCATTTCCGTAATAGGCTTTGATAATTTTAGCATGTTGTTTGATTGTTAATCTTTCCATGGTTGAAATTGCCAAAGACCTAAGTTGTTAAATCTGAAAGAAAAAAATCATTAGATGCTTCAACTTAATTCACATTTAAAATCAGTTCAAGTTATTGGAACACCATATATATATATATATATATATATATA